CGTCGAGCATGGAGTAGAGCCGCCAGTAAAAAGAAGGTATGAAAAATATAACAACCACAACCACCACCATGAGCAGGGTGTAGTGCCGCTCGCGCAACCCGTAAAGTCGCGTGATGAAAAATTAAACACTACACATCATTCTCCCACCTTTATTTCTGCAACAAGATCATCCTTTGATGAGTTTTGATGTCTACCCTCTAATAAATGGGAAGGAACAGCAACAGACACAGAAATGAAACATCATGTACAACCGTGCTGTCACATACTATTTCTTCCTCCTCCACAAAAACCAGCAAGACTTATTTTAAGCAATAGTCAAAAATGTACTGGCATGTGTTTCACAAAATAGAAAGTTCGAGGGTCACTGACACTGTTGGAGATTGACAAAGGTTAACCCAAATTGCCACGTATCCTGTACCTGGATTGGAGCAGTTCTTTGATTGGGACACTGACACCAGTGATGCAACTGTCGTGCCCACGGAAATGACAGGGAATGAAACGTCACAGACAACTTCAGACTTACTGCTGACTTTATTCGTTCCAATCAGGTTTATATATGATTTGTTCAATTCAGGTTCAAATACAAGTTGATGGTTGTACTGCCATCAGATTAGCTACTTAAAATAGAAACTATAAATATACGCAAGGGAGGAAAAATTATATTACGGCATTGAAATGCCTGTTAAAGCAGTTGTCACTTTCACCATTTAATACATTACAGAGAGATTAATCCCAAAGGTGATTCTCGAAGTTTAATCAGAGTGAGCCAAGTAATAACAAATCAATGTTGAAATTACTGTAAAAAGTCCTCTGTTGCAATTGGTCTCATCAAAAATTCTGCTACATGTATCCAAGTTGTACGTTTAAATATGAGTTTTGCCACATCACACACTACTCAGCAGCTAGCCCTTAACTGCATTCTAGTTTTAAATGTATGATAATGGGTAATAGAAAGACAAATAGAAAATGTAAAACTTAAATGGTTCTGACAACATTTGCAATATCAATTAAGACTGCAAGTTCTGCTAACCTCATGGTAACCTCTGACCTCATTCAGCATATTCCCGAAGACAAAGATGGGACTTTCCAGTCCAGCGCACGACCCTAAACGTTACTATACTAAACAAGAAGACAAGGGAGAGAAGTCGGAGTCGGAGTGGACTTGTTCTTGTTACGGGCAGAAAGTCGAACTTCTCTCCGGCTGTTAGGTTATGTTATGATGCTTGTGGTGTTTCTCAAAAGCGCCTTGCCTTTTCTTCCTCTTCCTTTCTTGATTAGTGAGCTATTTGATTACCCTCCGCGGCCGCAAATAATCGCAGGTAGGCCGAAGAACAATGTTATGAGAAATTACTACATCATTTTGGTATTTTAGTTTGTCTGCTAGTAGCTCTTCAAGCTCTTCAAGTGAACATGGCAACCTTTTGTCCAAAGCCTCTCAGTAAACAAGACATTTTCCCTGGTCGATTCTCGTATAAACCCATTCTTTAAATGTGTAAGTGCCAGGTCACGACACTGGTATATTTATGGAATATTTATGGATCCAATAAGTGATTAAACAAGTGTTTAAAAAGTATCATTCCTCCTTCAGATGTCATGAAAACGGCATAATTTTCTTACCTTTACCAGAGGATTCAAGAATCATGCCCAGAGGTTTAAGAATCGTCACATTAAAAAAGAATTGCCCTTTGACTGCTGTCTTAAAACTGTTTACCGTGACATCTTCTTGTATCTCCTATTGGTGGTAAAAATTTCCTCAAGGAGGGTTAGGTTGCCTTATGCTCTGTTTCTTTAAGTATCTGGACATATATGTTTATTTCCTTAATAAAGCACTACAAGTGAGCCTTGCCATAAAGAGGCAAGGGTGATAGTGTCACAATATAAAAAAGAAACTGCCATTCAAGCATTCACACATTAAAACACAAAGTATGGGGAAAATATAATTGTGAAACAAACATTATTAAACAAAAAAACAAGAAATGGAATGCAAATTAGGTGTTCATGTTGATTGTCTCCAGGGCCATGTCAATATCCCAGTCGGCAGCAGAAAGGTGTTCCATCACATTGTTTAAGTTGTAGCCCATATCAGTCATGGATTTAACGTGGCGCTTAAGACTCTCCTTGAACTTGCGTCCTAAAATA